TTTTGTGTGTGTGTGAGAGAGAGAGAGAGAGAGAGAGAGAGAGAGAGAGAGAGAGAAAGAGAAAGAGAAAAAAACTTTTTCATCAATAGGATGAGCAACGCACCGGCCAACACACGCACACAAACAAGTGTGGCAGTGTATATTTCTATCCCCCATAAGTTGAGATATATGCTGGAAGGTTCCCTAAACTATATGGGCACAGTGGAATGGTCTTTTTGACTGACATGTTTGTGTTATGCCTTTGTCAGGCGGGTGTGCAAATTCCCTTGGCCTTTTGCAATTGCACCTACGAAAACTTGGCAACTACTGGGGCATTTTGCAAAGTTAGGCAGCGTTCGATAGGGGTATATTGTAAAGACATGATACAATTGATGGCTGGGGTGTTTCGCAAATATTTTTGTCATCGTCCTTCGCCGCATCATAGTTGCGGCAAGTCCACTTGTATTACGTAAAAATTATTGCAATTTTAGTGGCGAACGAATATGGGGGAGTGAAAAATTAGGTATATGAGTTAGGATGAAGAGGGAAAAGAGGGGTGAAACTTCAAACTCACAGTTGAGACGAGCGATAAAATGCAGGTATAAGTTGAGGAGGGGTTGAAAAGTACACGGCAGAGAGAACAAGAGCGGTAATAACGGAAAGAAGAGGATGAGGGATACTATAAAAAGGTATGAGCGAGACTCTCTCTCTCACGCCACCGCACGCTCAACGAAAAACAAAACGAGCGAGTCTTCTGACAGAAAATGAATAGGTTCATCGATTTGCCAGAAATAGCAACGAATATAGTTTGTCATGTTTTGGGGCAACTGCACTCGTTTTTATCTTTGTTTCGTGTGCCGTGCGACTACTCTCTCTCTCTCTATCACACACACACACACACACACACACACACACACACACACACATATTAGCACTTGTGAAGAGACCCGAGCTTTTCATTATCATCCCTCTCTGCCTACGGTTTACCGGGCAGTTCTATTTGACGATATATAGATGCAATCACGGTTACATAGAATAACAATATCACGAAAAAAAACGAATACTGATAATAAATGAAAAAGAAAATAAAGCGTCTCTCTTGCTCTTTTTATTTTATTATTATTATTTTTTTAAGTTTCAGTTTGCGGCTCTAAGGCTGTGGTATAGTGGGTTTCGGCGTTTGTGTCAAGGTATCGCATTTTTGGCGGCAGGAGACCAGGACGCAAAGTGAAATTTTAGGGGCAAAAAAAATTGGAAGACTGGTCCTTGACAAAATTGCGGACTACCTATAGCTAACTCTCGGTGAACCGGGACTTTTGAAAAAATGAAGGACCGGTCCTCGGGTGGAAGCGGACCCTAACAAGAAGTGGGGGGAGTTGAACCGGTCCTCAGGTGGAAGCGGACCCCAAAAAGAAGTGAGGGCATGTGAACTGCAAAAGGACCCTCAACCCCACGTGTTAAGGTCCGTCTTCTCAAAACAGGGAGGTCAGGCGCAACGAAACATACGTTTTGCAAAAGACAACTTTAACGATTTTCTATGCTCGGAGGAACCCGTAGAAAAATCTGAAGTTTTGAGAATCTATAGATGAGGTCGTGTTCTTTCCAAAAGAAATATTATAACATTTTCAAAAAATCATTTAGCCTGCAAAATAATCATCGCGCCGATTCGGGACATTTCCCATTTTTGCCACGTAGCCATGCGTGGGACAACTGAAAAGTACGCCAGATTAAGTAAGTTTTCGCGCTCAAAAGAATGCGTGAGAAAACCTGAAATTAAAGTATCCTTATATTTTGTTGTGATCTTTCTAAGAAAAACTCTTATTAAATTTTAAACAATCATTCCAACTGTGAAATAGATTGCGGCCGCAATTGGACCCATATTTCAATTTTTCCATTCAACCTCTCTCTCTCTCTCTCGTAGGCCCCCCCACCCCTCCCTCTCTCTCTATCTCTCTTTCTTTCTCTCTGTCACTCATATCAACAATTGGAACAAAACTTTCCCCCCTTCCCTCTCTCTATCTTTCTTTCTTTCTCTCTCTCACTCTCTGTCTTTCTCTCACACTCATAACAATGAATGAAACAATTTTATTTTTTTTATTTTTTTTTCTCTCTTTCTCTCTCTCTCTCCCCTCTCTCTCTCCCTCTCTCTCTCTCTCTCTCTCTCTCTCTCTCTCTCTCTCTCTCTCTCTTTCTCTCTCTCTCTCTCTCTCTCTTGTGCGTGCGCTTAATTTCATTGCTTTGACTACCTTAGGGCTGCGTTCCCTGCGGCCACGCGGTAGACAATAAGCATCAGTTAAGAACGCGGAGCTATCATGATTGCATGTAGAAGACATTGCAGGTATATACATCGAGAGTACCACAAGAAAGGAAAAACACTGGCAAGAACGGGAACAAAAATAATGCGTCGTCTCTCCCTCTCTCTCTCTCTCACACACACACACACAGTCTTGCTCTAGTACTCTCGACATGCACAAAAGACAAAAATCGTGGCGGTGTTTCTTTCCATGTTATAGCGGAAGGTTCACTATCGTATTGTACGTAGGCGGATGTAGTCTTGTAGTGATGGCTGGGTCACTGGCTGGCTGGCAGGAGGGGTGGTGAAGTGTCAGGAGGGATACGCGCACACATTTGGCATGATGTCGAGAGGGCTGCTGGATTGTCGAGCCCTATATGCGCCACCGTTTGGATATCATGCTGGCTGACTGGCACAAGGTATGGGGAACTGTCCGGCTGTTTCCAGGATTCCAAGAACGGCCGTGTGATATCCAAACAGTGGTGGCCGGGTGCATTTTCGACTTGCACCCCGGCTGAACCTTTACCCAGCCCATTTTCCGACGCTGGAAAAAGCCCAGGGGTTACCAACTGGGCAAATTTGGGTCGGGTGGCACTACTGGTGGTTTGAATCCATATGGTTGCAGGTTTGGGAAGTGTATAGGGCAGGTTCATTCTATGAGGTTGTGGGGTGATGGCAGTTCTGAAACCACCACGTCTGAGTGGATTTATATACAAGGACGAAAACCAAACACTTGCGCACCCATAGGCGGTCGAATTGAACCGAAGTATGGCCCAGCCTGTGCCTAGGGTATTTGTGAACATAACTCCACCAGCGTGGGGACCTTTCAATACCCCCCCTACGAAGGAAAGTTCGACTCCCATGTATCCAAGGGTGTTCAGTCACACGGAGGTAGCGCTGTAGCCTCCAGCTTTCTTGGGCTGGGCTTTCCCGTCGGTGCCAGAGCCTAATTTCTGGTCGCTCAGATGGTTGAACGGGTAAGATGACGTGAGGCGCGCAACGATGGGTATCCGTGGGACGAGAAATGAAGGGAAGGGGCCATCCTACGGCGTGTCAAACCCGAATGAGAGCCGCCTGTCTGCACGGAACCTGGAGTGGATCTCGACATAGGTCGCTCGAGCGGGGAATTTGCACACGCGAGCCGAAGTTGCCGCGCTTCAAGGGGGCGGGACAGGAGTGCGTCTGTGAACGGTGTGGGGAAGGCGGGATGGGACGGTGAGATAGTGGATGAATCCCTCCTTTGTCCTTCCCGTTAGGACGTTCATAGCGCTGGTCTGCTTCTCCGCCGGCTGCCTGGGAGTTTTCGCATGGGTTTTCTAGCGCCAGAAGGCAGTTCTGCGAGGCGAACTAACCGCCTTTTTGTGAAAGGATTTCCAATGTCTCTGGTCCTGGCGGAAGACTCCGTGGCATGCGACTCTGTCGCCTCCTGCCTGTTTGGATATCTTATGCAGAAGGGAGAAAGGTGGGGTTTGTATTTGGTTGAGCCCAGTTTTTCTCGTGGCTGGTGCGCTGTGTTTTCGTTCTTTTCGTGACTTGTGCGGTGCTTTTCGTTCGCCAAGCCGTGTAGCTCACGGTGCTTTTCATTCATTCACCCAAGACGTGGTTCCTTGCGGGCTCTTGTCGTCCCTCCCCGTCTCTCTCTTCTCCGTCTCTTCGTCTTTCTGTCCTCTTCCCTCTCTCCCGTCGGCCGTCTTGTGTCATCTGCTGACTATTGTTGGCTTGTGAAAATCTGTACAGCAGTATCAGCAGCGGCACAGCTCGTGTACTCTCTTCTTCGTCTCTCTCTGGTCTTCTCTTTCTCGTCCAATTCGAAGGTAGCAGGGAGGGAAGGAGAGGTTGGGTACCGCTGGACATGCGAGTGAGCCCCAACGCACACGCGCGTGCGCGCGCGCACACACACACACACACACACACGCACGCACACACGCACGAACTAACGAACATACGCATACACGGGCACACATCGCGCACACACAGAGGGAGAGACACCCAACCTCACGGACAGCAGGAGCACGCAAGCGCACGGGCGCACGGGCGGGCGAGCGAGCGAGCGAGCGAGGGGGAGAGAGAGAGAGAGAGAGAGAGAGAGAGAGAGAGAGAGAGAGAGAGAGAGAGAGAGAGAGAGAGAGAGAGAGAGAGAGAGAGAGNGAGAGAGAGAGAGAGAGAGAGAGAGAGAGAGAGAGAGAGAGAGAGAGAGAGAGAGAGAGAGAGAGAGAGAGAGAGTCGTATCGTACGACTTGCCGTGACTGGGAATGAAATGGTGGAAGGAACGGACGGGGCTTGTTCGGACCTGTAATGCAGTCTGTAAGGGGTGTAGCGGTCTGTGTCCGTCCGTCCTTTCAAACCCTCTTCACCCCAACTGCAACGACTGCACCTGACATGACACGGGCTTTCTAATCTGCTGATCGGTGCTGTTGGACTTCGGATTATATCGTCATTGTTGAGGTGAAATCGTTCAAGTTCGCGCCGCAGGCGCGGCGTGTCGCAGGGCGACGATGATTATCACTAGCGCGCGCAATCGTTCGCAGTGGGATTGCGCGGCAAGCACGGGCAGTGGGCTAGGCAGGTCGAAAGAGGGCGCGAAAAGAGACGGAGGTGGCCAAGGTGAGAGAGAGGAGACGCACGTGCGGTCGTGCTCCCCCGAGCGTCAGCCCGTCTTGAGTGGTCGGTTGGCAACTTGAAACAAGCGGCGCGTGCAGCTCCAGGCATGCCTCAGGTTGCCTCTCAACAGGCGTTGGCAGAGGACTTGAGCTCGCTTATGTGTGACCGGGGCGGGAGCTATCGCGACTGGCCGAGGGCGCCAGCGGTCATCGACCTGGTGCTGCTGCATGGCTATGCGCTTTCCGATGGGAGGAGGAGCTGAGGGAGGCAATAGCAGGGATAGCGGTAGGGCACCAGGGGCGTTCGGTATTCAAGACGTATATAATCGGGTGCTGGAGGCGCTTCTATCTGCAGAAGCGTCGTCGTCCAAGGAGCAAAATGCGGGGATCGAGAAGGTTGATGCATTGACGCAGCTTCCGCGCGTCGGGTTAATCGCAGGCCGTGTTTCGACCAGTAGTGGCGGAAGCGACCGGTCTGGGAAGAAGAACCAAAAGCAACGGCCTCGCGGCAAGGCCTTCGGCAAGAGCAAGTCTCGTGAGGTCGTCGTGGCCATCTCTAAGCGAGCCGTTCCCTCTGACAGAACAGCAGCGTCAGCCGGAGCGGGCGGCGCTGTTGAACCCACCACTGCTGCAGTTTGCGGCGCCGGGGCTGGATCCGGTGCGTTGGCCTTGTTGGAAGGCCTCACCAGTCACCAGCCACAGAGCCAAGGTCTCTCTCATCATCCTCCTCCACCTCTTTCTCAGTCGTTCTGGGGGTACGTTAGCGACTACTTCCGCGACGTGAGCGTGGAAGACATTGAACTCTTGCAGCCGCCACCTAACCCTCTCTTCGATCCCGCTTTCACCATCCCCCCTGCGGGTCAACATTACACCGAGGTGTGGGCGAAGGAAGACGCTGAGCAGGAGCAGGAGGAGGCGGGGAAACAGTTGGCGAACAAGGTGAAGAGGAAACTTTTGAGCGCGAGTCCCGTGAGCAAGAAGAGGAAGATCGCTGGCGGCGGCACGGGTGGCGGAGGCGCAGGGTTTCCTGCTGCTGCCACGCCCACCTCCGCGGCGGCCGTGGTGACAACGGTTTTGTCCCCGCTTGAAGATGATACCGACGACGTCTGCCATGTCTGTTACGGGGGGGAATCGGAGGAGGCTAATCAGATTATATTCTGCGACAACTGCAACGTGCCTGTACATCAGGATTGCTACGGAGTGCAAGAAGTTCCAGAAGGGCCGTGGCTGTGCTCAGGCTGTTTGGTGGCCGATGGAGGGGCAGCGCCAGGATGTGTCCTTTGCCCCAAAGTGGGAGGGGCGGTGAAGCCTGTCGTTGATGCCTCTGCTGACCACCGCGGTGGTGGGGGGGAAAGCAGGTCGAAGAAGAAGTATGCTCACCTGTTCTGCGCCCAATGGGTGCCAGAGACGTACATCGAGGATCCTAAGATCAGGGAGCCTGTCCGGAATGTCGAGGCGATTAGCAAGGAGAGATGGAAGCTTCTTTGCGTCATCTGCAAGGAGAAGCACGGTGCTTGCATCCAATGCAGCCATGGTGATGACAACCACGCCGTCCCTTGTCGTCTTTGTCCTCGTTCCCTATTTTGTTCCCACGTTCCCTCTTCTCCGTTTGTACCTCTTCTGTCTACCTAATTCCATCCCACACCCTCCTACGTCCCCGTGCTCCTCCTCCTCCGTTCGTACGTGTGCTGTCTACCTACGTCCTTCCCACACCCTCGTGTAACGTTCCTGTGCTCCTATTTGCTGCTCTCTGAGCTGATCGTGTTCTTCTTTCCGAGACAGAGAGCGAGAAAGACGCAGAGCTCTCTGCCAATTTCTTATCTTGCCTGTGCAAGGCCCCCTGCGTCTTTCTCGCTCATCTTCTCAACCTGTGGCTCTCTCATGGCTGTCTCGTGGCCTCTTCTCCCCTCTGTCTGTTATGTCTTTGTTCCTCATTCGCGTATGTCTCTTCCTATCTTTCATTTCGGTCCTCCCCCTCCTTGCCCTTTCGAGCCTCTTCGATACGCGTGCCTCTCTTCTTGTATCGCATGGTTCTGTTACATCTGATGCATCAGCCCTTCTCGTGTGAGTTTCTCCCTCTGACGTTTGTCCTGAAAACCCTCAAGTCCTTTTACTGTTATCGCTACCGTTCTCTCTCCTTGCTCTCACATGCGTGCTCTCCCTCCAGCGCATTTCTCTCCCTCCCTCTATCAGGTTGCATTCCCCAGCTTCTCGAGCCATTTGTCATGGACGGACCTTGCCTTTTCCTTACGTCTCTTCTTCGTACTGCTACCTCCCGTCCCCTCCTTGCGACTCGCCATGTCCGTCCTTTTTGGCATCCGTTAACTGGCTGGTGGAGTCTCATCTTCTTGCTTTCGCTGTTTCTAGTTGGAATACCCTCGTCTGCGCCCGTCATTTTCGCTGGTTGTTTCTCGGTGTGAGAGAAAGAATCTCTGTTTTTACTCTTGATGAAGTATTCTTCGCTCTGTGCCCGTTTCCGAGCGCGGGCACGAGCGACATCCTCGCTATCCTTCTCATGGGTCCTTGCCCTCTGGCTTGATACATTTTCACCCTTGGAAATGATGTGACTGCTGCTGTTTGAATCTCGGCCGCCTATGTTTGGTATGGCCGCCTTCAATCAATCTTTTCTTTCCTTTTCTCCCCTCCTTTCGTTTTTCCCCGTCTTTCCGTTCACCCCCCTCTCCTACACTCTCCGATTCTCGACTGTCCATCTTGTTGTTGCGCCTTCGATATCGTTTCATCGCGCTTCGCATGATCCGAGTGCGAGCCTCAGTTCTTGCTTTGCCGCCTCATGATCGATAGAATCATGGAGTCTATTCTATATGTGCTGCACATCGGGCATGCTCAGGCAAGGAGCCTTCCTTCCGGTTGCCAGAGAGTAACCGGACGTGACCTATCTGCTCGCCTCGACCGGCTCGATCCGCGACGTCTCTCTGGGTCTACACGGTTCATTCGCCTTATCCTCTCCTTTGGAGGGTTTGCACGGAAGATCACATTTCTCTGTTGCTTGCTTCTTCTTTCTTCCACTAGTTTCACTGTCACACACGCTCTCTCGCTAGTTCTCCCTCTTCTTTTCTCTCTCTCCTCTCTCCTCTTCATGATCTGATCCTTTTCTTTCAGCGCGAAGTCGAGTCGTGCCCGCTCTTGGTAGTGACCGCTTCAGGAGCGGTGATGTGATGGTTTAAAGATCACGTTTTCATCGATAGGAAGGTTTCAGGATTGCCGTGTTACAAATGGGGTTATTGTATGGTGGACCTGGTGGCCGTCGCGTTTCCACTTCCGGCCCGGTTCCGACGAAAGAGTGTGCAAAACGCCCCTCTGGTGTTCCTCAGCTTCTCTTGATCTATCGGGGCACGTACGGTCTCCTGTGTCATATCCTTTTTGTTTGGACTCTCTTGGATGATTACTTACTATTACATGGCGCGCGATCATCTCCCGTATACGTCAATTACGATAGGTGCGCTCTTGACGATCTCGGTCCGTTATAGCGAGGGCCGTCTCGCAAATTTAAATCCACAGAGCATTAAACAGAATATGCTCTTGATCCGACAATCAGAGGCAAGGGGAAAGTGAGGAGGAATGAATGGATCGACTGATCGAAATTGGATTCGCAACGGCTGGAAATTTGAATTTGGCTTCGGGACTGCCACTCGACGTGGGTCTTGCTCTCCTCTGTATTCTCGTGTGAGTTGGGTATCGTTTTCTCGCGCCTTTGTGACCGTCCGCGCTGCTGGCTTCTTGCAGCGTCGACCCTAATTTATCGTTTCATGAGGCTGGGGGATACAAGTACGACGGGGTTGTTAGCATGTTGCCCGCTCGCTCTCTTCATCGCTGATCGTGCACTTCCTCTCCCCTGGGCAATCTCTATTAGCCACAGCCACGGCGTTCTTCCTCCGCCTCGACCCGGGCTGAAGTCCCCCTCGCAGGCAATGCCGTGGCTGAGGAACTCACCTGCTCCCTTCCCCTCCTTGCGTATCCTCGTCTCTTTCCCCTTGTTCAGCTGGCTTTTTATGCACAGAATCACACCCCACCGTGCCCTCTTCTTATCGACGACGTTATCCCAGCCAAGTCAAGCGGACATCTCTGTCGTCTGTTTCCGTCAGTAATCTCCTGCTCCCCTTGGTGTAATTCCCATCTCCGTCCCGTTGACCAGGGTTTGCTCGTTGAGCAGGGTGTCTCTCTACATCTGTTATGCCGGGCAGGGCTCTCATTTCTCGCCTGGAAGTTTGATGATGTCTTAGATACCTTGACGGAATGTTAAAGAAGCTTCCCGTTAGGTGGTAGATCTCTGGAAGGGTGATGAATGAATGAATGACTGCTTCAGCAAGTCTCTTTTGTCGGTACTTGACGTCTTCTGATGTCGAATGAGGGTCCGATCGATGACTAAAAAATGCTTGTCTGAACTCGTGTGCAGGAATGTGCGCCACGGCGTTTCATCCTCTGTGTGCGCGCGAGGCACGCTATCGCATGGAGGTCTCCAGTCGAGCGGACGTTGATGAGGTGGGTGTTGTGAGGCGGCCCTAGAATGAAGCTATACCTTATTGGTCGACTCGACAAGTAACGTATGCGGCGATTGAAAGATAATGACAGCCAGTGCTCAGCTACTGAGTTGCTACTAAAAGCTGCTATTAAGCTAATAACTTTTGTTATAGCCGTTGGATGTCGTTCCTTTGGGTTTGTGCGGTCCTGTACCCGTCTCTTTTGTCGTCCAGTGGGGTGATTTCTTTTCTGCAAGTGTGTACGTCTTCCGGCGGGGTGTGAGGGAGGGAGAAGAGCGGGTTGTAGCACAGCTTTTGTGTTGTTTCACGCTTGAATTTCAGGTGAGCCGCACCTTGGGAGCACCGTTGCGAGCGAACGAAGGGCGGAAATGCGGTATGTGGATCTTGAAAGGCTTGGGCACGTGTGTGGGAGAGGAGGTGCTGACGGACGGAAATGTGGGCTTTCTTGATTCGCTTGGTGTGCACAGGTTGAGCTGAGGGCGTTTTGTCAAAAGCATTCGTCTCTGAGAAACTCCAAAGGGCCGCAGGGCGCGAACACAAATGCAAGTCTGGCAGCTCGCTCTCAACAACAGGTTGGGGAAAAGGTGGAGGAAGGGTGTCCGCAGACGACCGAAGGGCCCGTTGGGACAACCTCAGCCAGTCCGCAGGTGGCGACAGGCGCGGCGACAGCCGCTGTGTCGCCGCCTCTCCCTGATCCAGGGAGTGCAAACGAAGGCAGTGCGAGCGCCGGATGTTGCGTAAGTCACGACGAGGCGCAAGATGGCCTCGTAGTCCCTGACGCGGGCGCAGGAACTGCGGAAGGTGCGCGATCGGGAGCAGGAGAGGTTGCGCCGCAGCAGTCGGAGCAGAGCAACGAGAAGCTGGCTGAGCAAGGAGGTTGGGAAAAGGAAGCGAAGGGGATACAGGTATGTGAACAGCGCGAAAAGGGTGATGGCGGTGTTTCGGCTACTGGGGAGGGCAGGGATGCGCCTTCGGCGGTCGACAGGGGTGATTCTTACGAGGTAAACGGCACCGCGGACGGCGTGGGGGTCGAGTCTTCCGCCCTGGGCACAGCAAGTGGGTGTCCGGAGGTTCCTGGTTCCCCCTCGGGCTATGATCCGTGGATGGAAAGGGGAGAACGAGGAGTGCAAGCATCAGAAACAACGAAACCGGATGATGGAGCGAACAGCCAGTATGGCGCTGTGGCGAACCCGACACGTGACCCGCTAGAGGGAGAAGGACCTGCTACTGCCGACGGGACTGGTGCTGGAGAGCCGTGTGTTTGGAATGCCGCTCCTGCGGACCAGACGGTACCCGATCCAGTCGCGTCGCGCGTGCTCGATGCCTGCGACACCAATGAACTGGTCAAGCTGCTTAAGCGGGTATGAACTTCCCTTCCCCCCCATGTTGCTGGTTCTCTCTCTGTCCCTTCTTTTTTATTCCGAGGTAATTCTTTCTCCTCTCCATGCCATTTTCCCTCCTTTCCCTCGTGATGATGACCCACTTATGGAACTCGTGATCTCTTATTCGTCTCCGTATCGTTTCCACTTATTACTGCCGCTCTCTCTCTCTCTCTCTCTCTCTTTCAGTAGCGAGTGCTCTGTCTGGTTCTGTGGTTCTCGCCGTCGTCTGGTACACGAAACAGGCCTCTTCGTTCGCAAACGTGAGCGCGCCTAGCCGAGGCCTTCGTTTTTCTTCGACGATTTCTGAGGCCATTTCCACCAGCGTTCATGCTCTCAGAACACCGAGCAAAGAGTAAAATCTACACTGTGAGCTTTCCGTGATTAGAGTTTGAGACCGTCCATGCATCCAAGGTTTGGGTTTTCGTCGTCGGTGGGTGAACTTGTGGCTGGGCTGTTTGGGTTATGATGAGAACCTATCTCAATTTCAGATCGAAAAGTGTGTTCTGGTGGCGTCAGGACGGTTTCTAGTACAAGTTCTTTAGAGGGAAAGCAGCCTGTGTGTTGTGCGCGCGAAAATGTTCACGGTGTGGGAGAGAAGGGACTCTGCCTCGTTGAAAGTGAACACGTGCTCGGTTGGCATTTGGCATCAATATAAGGGGTCGCGAAGGTAAGTGTCGAAGTAAGGAGTCTGGCCGGAAGGGAGGGAACTGGTTCTCTGTTCCTGCGCCGCGCATGCGCGGCTCCTGCTTCTCTCAGCAGCAGCCTACGGTCGAGTTCTCTCAGGCGTTCTGATGAGTATATATGCTGGACCGGTGAAACGTCACTGCTCGCCCTCCTCACGGTCCGCCGCCGCGGCGTTCGGCCGTAGTGTAGCGACAGCGTGTTTTTTGGGGAATTCATCATCACAGCGTCTAGATTTGTGAAGGCCTCCTTCAGGCGCTATTGTGATTCAGTCATGGATCGGCATGAGGAGGTCTGGGCTGGTTAACGAGAAAGCCCTTCTTCTTGGCTGTCTCTTATCTCGGGGCTTGCTTCGGTCACGGGACTATTTCGACTCAACTCGGGACTGCGGTCAGATGCGTCCATTCAGGTTCGTCCGTAAACACCAGCAGATGCATGTAGAAAAGTGCTGGTGGGAGTAAGTGCTTCATATCATGGACGGACGGTTGCCTGATTCCATTTGAAAATGGACCCGTTGCTGGCTTGTCGCGTCACAAAATTTTGGAAATGTTCAACAAGAATTCCCTCTCCCTATCTGCCCATACGCACGGGAAATGAGATTGTCCTAAGGTTTGTCGCCCGCTGCCGTCTTCATTCGGTGCCGGTTCCGAGAAGATTGTGTGTGTGTGGTCTGTGTGTGTGTGTGTGTGTGTGTGTGTGTGTGTGTGTGTGTGTGTGTGTGAAGACTCCCGCGAGGGTGCCTCCTCTCCCCTTGAGGGTATCATAGTCTCTTGCAAGAGCGTGGCTTTCATACAAGAATGTGAAGTCCCCGAATGGGTGACGGAGTCTGTCGAGAGTCAGACGGCAGACTGTTCGCAAGAGCTTTGGCAAATGTAGTTTCCGTGGGGCGATAGGTAGGGGATGACAATTGGGCTGGGCGTCTTGGGAATTTTGGAGGTGTTATGTCTTGGGCTGGACAGAGTCACGGCCTTCGCTGGTGGCTTCAGTTGAGTGTCTCCGCCGCATGTGGAAGGAAAGAGGAGGGTTTTGGAATGGATTGGGGGCCGGGGTCCGTGGCGAGGAGGGGGGGGGTGGAGAAAGAGAGATGGAACGCCCGTGAGAGGGATATGACGGACGATATGCTTGTTAGGCGTGCGGTCGCGCGATGATGTGAGATATACACAGTGCGCTGATGTTGCCAGGCGCCGAATGGATGTGTTTCTTTGCGAGTTTCTGTGAATGTGTGCAAGGAGGGGATTCTTGTCTGCTGCTCTTCCTTCTTGCAGGTCTGTTTTGGTTTCCCCGACTCTTTGTGACGGCCGTTTATTCACCCTGACTCTGCTCGGCCGCAGTTTTTTGCAAGCAGACCCGGAAGTGTCGAACGAGCAATATGCCCGTAGTTATGCCCTCCACCCGTCTCGCCCGCCCGGATTCGGTTGATGCTGGGTAACTCCCCTCCCTCGCTCGCTCGGGCGGTCTGAAGTTCTTGCGAGGATCTGCCTGTTTTGTGGTCTTCCGGCTGATACCCATGGACGACGTTGGCTGCCCGTTGTGTCATTACTCTCGAAGTAGTGTATAGTAGAAGTAAACCCTAGTTTTTTTGGTGGTCCCGAAAGTTCTTGTAAGCCACAGCGAGGAGTTGGGAAATTGCGCTCTCCGATGTGCGGTGGTGTTATTGGCCATGGTTGACTCAACCGTCCTTCGGTTCTCATCGCCTGGGGAGCGAGTGCCAGCGGCTGCAGCCAACGGAGATGGAACGGGATGTGTATATGGCTCTAAGAGCTGTGTGACGAGATCCGTAGGGCATACTTACACTACGACTTTCCTGGGATGAATATGACCGCTTTTCGGACCCGGTCCGTATGCACCTGGCCACAACTGCGTCCACAGAGAAGTTGAAAAAGTCCCAGTGTGAGGATGCCCTTAGTGTGTGATGACGATCCTCCGCAAGTTGGGGGGGCGGTCCTCAGTTGGCTGAGGTGAAATTGCTGTTGGTTTGATGGAGGCTATAGTGGGTGTGAGGATGCGCCGACCATGGTTGCGTTGCTTGTGCTGTGCAGCAGCAGCAGCAGCAGTTTGCCACTGGGACACAGATCAACTCTCGTGAAGGCGGATGGTGAATGGGGGGGACACTTTTTTTTTTTTTTATATATGGGGGGGACGCTTATCGTAGTGTTCCCTTTTTTTTTTCCCCTTGTTGTTTAAATATGGAAAAAGGAAAAGAAGTTTTACTGAGTGTTCTATTTTATCATGGAGATGCCTGGGGCCAAGAGTTGGCTGCCTCAGCGGTCTGGAATCGGGGGCAGCAAGCAGCTCATGCTGGTTCCCACTCGTTGGACTCTGGGAAACGCCTGCGGCGACAGATATAGCGGCGATAAATATAGCGTATCCTTTTAGTGTACTTGAAATAAAGACGTTGGCGTTAAGTGTCGACGACCTCATTTTGACTCTATCTCGCCGGGAACATACCTTGTATGGGTTCATTTTCAGGGTGCGTTATGCGCGGGGGAAGACGGTAGTCTGTCACACTTTGTGAAGGCAGTGAGTGAACTAAGGGCCTCTCTCCACTACTCACCAAACGAATGTGCAGAAGGAGAATGAATCTTCCGCTAGAAATGGAAATATACATCGTCATATTTTTTTTTCTTTTGCGCATTTGTAGAGTAGTGCAGCGAGGCCCTAACTCGTCCCTAACTCGTCCCTGATGATCGCACTTTTGATTGACAGTCCAGTGTGTCGGGATTATCATGATGATACTGTAATTGCCGAGAACAATGTGTAGCTGCATCTTTTGCGAGCTGGGAGTACTACTTATCTCCGAATGAGGTCATTACCTTCGCCCGAATACGACTATTGTGCCTGTATTTAGACTGAAATATACCCAAAGTACAGCTCAAATGACCGTACGTTGTATTCGGGGCAAGGAATGTAGTATTCTCATGGGTTCTCTTCTTGTTCGAACAGCATGCTCGCATGGGCATTTTTATCCTTGCCAAACGTATGTTGCAAGGCATGACCATTGCAATCATAGGGAAGGATATCTATCTTGCAAGATCAGGACCGGCGTTTTCCAATGGTTCCCACGTCACGATCTGTTTGGCTACCGTCGTTTCCGACGCAGGGACCTGGTAGGGCCTCGCTCCACTACACAGCACTCTCTATATGTATGTATGTATCTGGACCTCTTTAGCGTCCCGAAACATGGAAACTGTTGGTCTCGTCCGAATGCACCTCCTGGTCTAGAGACCGTCCAAATGCATGTAGAATGTCGAGTAGTGGAGCGAGGCCCTTATTTGGATGGCGATGAGACCTGGGTTCTCGTTGACAGCGGCGATCTTCATTCTTGCTCAGCAGAATGCCGTGACGTGTGACAGAAGATGATGACTACCGTCTTCCGCCGAACATAACTATGAGCGTATCGGACCGGAAAGATAGAGGGAATACGTTCATGATCGGGGTGCGTTGTGTTCGAGGGAACGCGGTAGCTTGCTTGGATGAGGCGTGTAGCTTGTTGTTGGTGTGGTAAGGGCAGCGTCTGATGTGATGACTCCCTCTGGATTTGTGTCCTTGATGATGTGTATGGAGAGGAGTTGTCATGGCGCACGTTTCCTGTCCCGCACTTCCCTCCTTTTTTTCCCCCGACGACTGTGTCGAGAACGGCATAGGTGTCTCGTATTTAAGTAGCTAGCTAGTGCCACGTGGTCCTGTAGAGAGCGAGGTAGATGTATGTATGATATATACAGTATATATACAGTAACGACCCTGATGTCTGCAGCGTGTGTCGGCAGCCGTTTTGTAGTCCTCTATTGTTGAAATACCCTCCCTTGGTTCGTTGTCTGTCGCATGTGCTCTTTCGTGCGACTGAGATTTTCAATACCTTATATCGTGTCCCCTTCATTTTGGGAGCTCCTTGATCTCGTTTTTCGACCGCGCGAAGATCCTCTTTACTCCTTTTGGAAAGTAGATTTGAACTACTGACCTTACACTTATCAGGCGTATTCTCTAAACCAACTGAGTTATAGGCCCATGCTTGGAAAGACTTGGAACTCTCAACACCCCCAAATCCGAGGTTTCGTGCTCTATCCAATTGAGCTACAGGCTCATCATCAGTCGTCCTTTACTCCCTCTGGCTCATCAAGCAGGGTCTTGGCTACGGCTAAGAAGTAGCGCTCCGTTCGTACACTTGGCATCCTCCAGTTCTTCCACGTCCCTTAACTGGTGTTTTTTTTTTTTTTTTTTGGTCCACATTTTCAGATTTTTCGGTTGTCGATGTCTTCCTGTTGGTTCCCGCGTGTCGCGTTTCGTATGATGACGTCATCTTCATGGACACTCCCCTGTAGTGTCGAGGAGTGTTGAAGTCGGTTTCGACTGTTTTCTCTAAAGGGATGGTCGACGACGAGGCTCATCATCGAACGAGTAGAGACACTTGGTAGATGATGGACCACCGGTATCCAAGGAGTGCAGCAAGACATGCGGGACACGGAATGCAGCGAGACATTCGGCGATTGAGGAAAGGCACGTCGTTGAAAAAGAAGATGTCGTGGGTCGAAAGTGGGCGTCCGGTCCTTCGGGACATCCGTTAAAATTGGACGATACAGAGAAGATTAGCATGGCCCCTGCGCTTTCAAGGAGGACACGCATAAATCGAGAAATGGTCCAAATTAAAGGAAAAAAAGAAAAAAAGTGGGCGTCCGGTCTATTTTTATTGTTATACTTAAAAATACCGAATTTGGTTAGTGCGAGAGGATTACTTGGGCGTATGTTTTGTTAATGTTTTTAGGACTGTTTCCCCTGAACACAACGCCCCCGGATAATGAATGTATACGAGCTATCTTTCGGGTTCGGCACACAGCCGTAATGAGGGTGCGTTGTGATCGGAGGAAGACGTTAGTGTATGAGCCACGAAGGGATGTCTTTGTTTGTGTTTGTTCTCTGGACAAGCGATGGTGGTTGGTTTGATAAGACAGACGTATCTGGTCACATAAAGATTCAGCGTATCATTTATTTTTCTTAGTTTTTTGTTCGTTTTTCTTGGTCTTTCGCTCTTCGCTGGCTTTGGTTTTCGATCGTCCGTTCTGACGTTTATTGGATAATAAAATTCATGGCAGTGGAATGTGTTCGTTCAGACGTCTGTCTTATCAAACCAACCACCATCGCTTGTCCAGAAAACAAACACAAACAAAGACATCCTTCTTGTGAGTTGTGTGTTAGGAATGTGTTTGTCTAATCAAGGGATCTTTTCTATGCATGCGTGTATTTGTGACAGTGAGCATTGTGCGGTCCTTGTAAGCATGCATTTTTTTGCAGTGAGCCTTACGTGCTCATTGGCCGGTCTTGTTCGACAGGAGGAGCAGGACAAGGAAAAAAGAGAAGAGGTTTCAGATTCCCTTTTCTTCTTTTGCCTTTCGTCATCGCTAGTTGTCTGTCGTTCTTTTTCTTCCGCAGTTGCTTTGCGAAACAGCTTTATTGGTTGTCACTGCGCGAGGATTTGTCGGGTTGGATCTTAGCGCTATGGATCGCTGTACAAGGTGCACCCTCGTGATGTCTGCATCGGACCCGAAAGAGGTGCTACCGTCTTCCCATGAACACGATGCACCCTCGTGATGACTGCATCGAACCCGAAAGATAGCTTATATACACACCGCGAGCATTTGTGGGGTGGGAACTTTGCACTATCGCTGTACAAGGTGCTGCTGTCTTCCCCATGAACACTCATTATACCCTCGCAATGACTGCATCGGAGTGGAAAGATAGCTTTTATACCATTCATTATCAGGGTGCGTTGTGTTCGGGTAGCAGTTGAGGTCTACATGTGTTGGGTTCTTTTTGGACCATTTCTCGATTTATGCGTGTCATCCTTGCACCGAGGCCGTGCTAATATTCTCTGCATCTTTCCAATTTGAATGGATGTCCCGAAGGACTATTCATGTTGTTTTTCGGTTGTTTCTTGTCTTTTGTTTCCCCTCGTTCTTGTTTTCGTTTGGTGCTACTGTTACTGCCTTGTTTTGTCGGGTTTTTTTTTTTTTTTTGCGAAAGTTTGTGTGGTGGTATTCAACCAGGTGGGAGGCGGCGTGGGGAGGGGTTATGGATGTTAGTGTGTCAGTATGCTGTGTTGTGGACGATGTACGTTCTTCTATCTACTGGATATGATGAGCATTCGCCAAGGTAGATTTGCAAAATTGATAGTTGCCTTGTATGTACGGACATTGATTCGATACGTACGGACGGTTGACAAGCTAGATCTCGAGGGGGTTGGGGCCTCTATACGGTCAGGACGCCGGTTATCAGGTCAGCCGGGTAAGCAAAAGGTTTGGGTCGGCAAGCATGCTGGCTGTGGTGGGCACAGGCAGAAGAGGGAAGGAACTAAGTATTTGGTTCCTTCGGCGGCTACCAAGCCTACGGCCACGGAGTACATGTAGGGGTTGCGGTGTGCTTTGGGATGTGGGCTTGGTGTATGAGTGCTTGCAGGCTAGGAGTTGCAGTGGAATCAAGACAGACTCTCACGCCCCAGTCATCCTTTGCTCTCTGTATTTGTCTATCCGTTTGTGCCTGTGTTTGAACAATTATTAGAACGCAAGGAGGTGGAGAAACATTTGTATTAGGAAAAAATAGTATTATTAGAAAACAAGGAGCGAGACCTTGTCATTGGAATGAGGAGAAACCAGCAATCAATTGTAAGGAAGATCTTCTATCACCGTGTTGGTATTTGAATATGAAGTCTTTGACTTAAGTTTCACAGAATCTTCGTCAAAGCCATTAGTACATAAGACGTCTGATTGTGCTCTGCTGGTGGTTTAATTAATAATCTCGATGGCTCTTGGCGCCGGTGTTACTCTGTGACTGGCATGTGGCCATGAAGCTTATTTTTCCCCCTTTCTGAAGAGCTCGGGTTTTGGATGGATGCGTATACACCTCTAAATATCCCTTTTCTGGAAAGCTTATTTTTTCCCCTTTCTGAAGAGCTCGGGTTTTGGGAAGGATTTTCTGGAAAGCCCTTTTCACTACTTGGCAGGTGAAGCGGAAGACGCATGGCATAACTTGGTTCTTTTTGCTTGCTGTTTTTTTTTTTTTGAAGGTGATGCATATAACTCGGATTACTCAGACGTTGGTTGCTCACCAATCCGGCGTTTCCCAGAGCACGCTGTCGACATTTTTGCAGGTATGCTTCTGGAATAAGTAAAAGTAGATGCATAGCATGTGATCGAGGCAATAAAGGATCCTCAGACATGTATGAGATTGAATAAGCTTTGGACAATGGCAATCGGAGGGGTAAGGCTAGGGTAGGGGTAAGACCAAGGAGTAGTATCTCAATCAGGCTTAACCGAGCCAGGGGAGAGGGGGGTATATCCTTCCGAAGCGTGGGGTATACATCATGTACTTTCAATGACTTGGCGGTGGAAAAGTAACCGGACCGATGCTCCCCAGAATGGACAAGGATCACGGACCGTAAGGTCCTGGTTAAAAAAAAAAAGAAGAAAGAAAAAGAGATTGAATAATCTAACCTGTTGTTGGTCATCTATGTTTCTGATGAGGTTACCTTCTGACACTATGCCTCTTCGCACTGCCAAGGAGCAGAGGAGTGGACTGCCCGTTCATCCCTCTGTTACTAATGAAAAATAAGATATATATGTATTTTTTAATGAACTTTCTTTTTCTCGTTGAACAACTCTTCTGCAGAACATGACGCAGTTCCTTCCTCCTCCGTGGAACTCTTTGGCTGTCCTTGTTGGTGAAATGTGGAAGGGATGAGTTGGTTGGGCGCTGTCACTGCTCCGCATCACTGTTCTGCCTCGCGGTTGTTGTCGGACTGAGGTGTAGTCCCTTGTCTTTTGCGCCTTGTTGATCCTTCATTGCAATTTCTTTCTGGGCTGCGTTGGCAGCAGCTCATCTCCTTCAGCACTGGCAAATCATTATAGTTAGGTCGTGTATGCCATACGGCTTCCCCAAGAATGATGCTCAACAGAAAAGGCAACTTCAAGCCTCTTTTGGAGCCTTAGGATTTCTTCCTCCCGATTGAGTGAGGTCACTCAAGGCTTTACGGCCTTGGGTGGAAGGAAACCATAGCGTCGGAATCCAGAGTCTTATCTTATTCTTCCTGTGATCTTGATCTTTTCGAGTCCTCGGTTTCTCTTTGCCTTCCTTTGGCCCATCTTTTCCCTCTCCGCATCCGTGGCATCTTTGCCTCTTTTGTACAGTGTACAAGTGGGCCGTTATGGCACATGGGGCCCTACGCAGTGCACGCTCATCAATGTGGCAGGCCTTGTACCTCAGAGACACAGCAAAGGGAGAGCTGGATGAGCGAAAAAAAAGAGAAAAAAGAGAAACCGTGTGAAAAAAAGAGGAAGAACTGCACCGAGGAAGGCTAAAAGAGCGGCTTAAGTGTGCCTCGTGCTGTCTTCTCTTTTCTTCAGTTGTTTTGCAATTGCCGTCTCCCAGTTTATAGATATGTGTGGCAATATATAGTCATATATGATAATGGAGAATATAGGTAATGTACTGGATGTAGCAGCATGGTCGACGGTATATCAGGTTGGCTGTCTTTTTTTCACCGTTTTGCCAAAGGTGAAACGGAGTAGTGTGCCTGTAGACCGAGATGTCCTTCAGAGCTGCCAGCTTCTGCCGTATGCATCCAGTGGAGCGAGTCATTTCTTCCATTCGTAGATGGTTTGCTTCTTTGGCCAAACAGATTTGTAACTTGTTATATGGTATTTTTATTAATTTGTTTGAGAATATTCTTGAAGGTAGACCTTGAATAGGTGTGGATGCTCTTGCTGTGTTTGCCACCACAATTGTGCAGTCCCCATTCCCCACATGTTGCATGGGTAGCATTTTGATCCGGTGCCCTTTCTGAGCATGCAGCTGAGTAAATGGGCAGCGATGGGTAGCATTTTGATCCACAAGTGGATTCATAGTGGCCTTTCTGAGCATGCAGCTGAGTAAATGGGCAGCGATGGGGTATTGCGGGTCCTGAGTGAATTTACTTCCGGAGATTGTGGAAGCACTTCGATGGCATGGCGCCGACCTCAAAGTAATTACGTTTTGGCACCAAATTTGACCGCTTTTCAAGCAACATTGGCAGCGAGTCCACTGTGGTGAGGACTAATCACCGTAGGTGGGGAAGTAAAGATGTATGCTCTAGTGATGCCCTGCGGTCTTCCTGCAGGTAGATTCCCTCGTCATGTTAGTGTTACACACCTCTTACGCTGTCTTGTGACCTGTGGAGCAGGAAGTCACCGCTGTTGATTGTTGTGCTACCCGCACTGCTTACCATACCAAGTATCTATCGCCAGCTCTGTGATAGGGGTATATAGGGGTATATATGATCATGGATTATTTCTTGATCGGGCGATTCTCCCTTGAGCAGGCAGTGGCTTTTGTCCTCTGCTTCTACAATATATATTGTATATGTTTGTGACGATATATGTGTCAATAGTTCTGTGACAATATCGCGTGATTGTCCCAGGCAAGACACTACCGACAGTGTCGGGAAAACCGTCGTGGAGAACATGTGGTCCCGTTACAGTGCCGGATTTTCTTTTTCCACTTTTGCACGGGCCCTTTCTTTTTTTACTTTTGCGCGGGCCCAACACTGTCCGGCCTTTTGTTTTTCCACTTCCACGCGGGCCACACATTGGCTTTCCCTTTTTAGTCGTTTGTGCTGCGGCTTCTGTTATCTTGGGTCCTTTGTGTCGTTTCATTGCGCACAGCTCTTTTTTTCTGGGTACACAGCAGCGTGCGACAAAATCTGATGGTCGAATAAGGAGAGGATGAGGAGCGGCGTGCGCAGCTCTTTTTTCTGGGAACACAGCAGGCCGTGTTTTGTTGCAGGTCGAAAGAGGTCGCATGGTGGAATAAGGGGAGGATGACGAGCAGGAGGAGGTGGATGACGAACAGCAGGAGCTCGGGGGAGCGGGAGGAGGACTAGGGGGAGGAACGGGACAGGGATGAGATGATGGTTAGTGGCAGCATGAGAAGCGGGAGGAGAAGGGGGAAGTTGATGAGCAGGACGACTGTGAACGGGAGGAGCACCATGAGGAGCGGGAGGAGAAAGGGGAAGACGACCAGTGGGAGGACAGTGAATGGGTGGAGCACCAGGAGGAGGGGGAAAGGGGAGGATGACGAGGGGGAGGAAGAGCGGGAGGAGGGCGAGGATGACGAACCTGGTAGGACGACTCCACGAGTGGCAGGAGTGAAAGGAGCAGGGGGAAGAGCAGGAGGAAGAGGAGCGTGCGGAGGGCGAGGACGACGGACCTGGCAGACTCCACGAGTGGCAGGAGTGAAAGGAGGGGGAAGAGCAGGAGGAGCGGGAGGGGGAGGAGGAGGGGGAGGGCAACGAACCTGAGGAGGACGAGCAGCAGGAGGACACCATAAGTGGCAGGAGTGAGGGGGAAGACGACCTTCGGGAGGAGGAGAGTGAATGGGTGGAGCACCAGGAGC